TGTGTGTGTGTCTGTTGTCTGTGTGTGTCTGTCTCTGTGTGTTCTCTGTGCGTCTTTGTGCGTGTGTCTGTTGTCTGTGTGTGTCTGTCTCTGTGTGTTCTCTGTGTGTCTGTGTGTGTGTCTGTTGTCTGTGTGTGTCTGTCTCTGTGTGTTCTCTGTGTGTCTCTGTGTCTGTGTGTCTGTGTGTGTGTGTCTGTGTGTGTGTGTCTGTGTGTGTGTGTGTCTGTGTCTGTGTGTGTGTGTGTCTGTGTGTGTGTCTCTGTGGGTGTGTGTGTCTGTGTGTCTGCGTGTCTGTGTGTGTGTGTGTGTCTGACTCTGTGTGTTCTCTGTGTGTTGTCTGTGTGTCTGTGTGTTGTCTGTGTGTCTGTGTGTGTGTCTGTTGTGTGTGTGTGTGTCTGTGTGTGTGTCTGTGTGTGTGTCTGTGTGTGTGTGTCTGTGTGTGTGTGTGTCTGTGTGTGTGTGTCTGTGTGTGTTTGTGTGTGTCTGTCTGTGTGTGTCTGTCTGTGTGTCTGTCTGTGTGTGTGTGTCTGTGTGTGTGTGTCTCTGTGTGTGTCTGTGTGTGTGTGAACCGTCCTGGAACACGGACGTTAAACCCTTCGGAGTTTTTCCTGAGCAGGGGGACACAGCACTTCACTGGGACTGTGTCCAACGAAGCTACCAGTGAAGTGGGATATCCAGCTTGGCCAGCTGGACGTACCTGCAATCTCTCTTTCCTGATTCCTTTTGCGGTTTCTGTTTGTCGCTGTTGTTTCCTGTTCGGTGTCGATGTTGTGACCTGTTGCTCTGCATTTGCATTCAAGCATTTTTACTGACTGCGGTTTTCATCTCGGCTAGTGAAGCCTCTCGAGATAAGTGTGTTTACCCACGGCCTGTCCGACATGGCGCTGTGGGCTGGACTCGCTACATGCGGGAGCCCCCTGCGAGGGGAAGACCGTTCATGCGTTCAAATTCAAGCTGCTGTTCAGCGCGATTGACCATGATCAAGGCAGCGATTTGCAGGTGAGGTACCATTCGCATTCGCATTGCACTGCTTGCACTGCCTGCCTTTTGAACAAGGCAGCTCTCATAAGGTATCAGGCTCCGGAAGCTTCATGCGCGAGTGACAAGCCGGTCAGACACCGACTTTGCAGTTCATTGATTCACGCACTGCGCTGACTCAGATCAGTTCAATTCACTTTCACGACTAGGTGACACCTTGACTTGATTTGATGCGTTGTCTTGCCTTGACATGCATGACTGATGACTGCAAGACGCAATGGGCCTTGCACAAGTGAGCTCGCCCCACTCGGGGCCTTGTGTGTGTGAACCGTCCTGGAACACGGACGTTAAACCCTTCGGAGTTTTTTCTGAGCAGGGGGGCAGTGGTCCCTACAGCAGTCGCTGCCTAACAAAGACGCTGCTGTAGAGGATGTGAAATCCACGTCGGACGCGATGTGGACGTACCTGCATTCTTCCTCTTTCCTGATTCCTTTTGCGGTTTCTGTTTGCCGCTGTTGCTTCCTGTTCGGTGTCGATGTTGTGACCTGTTGATTTGCATTTGCATTCAAGCATTTTCACTGACTGCGTTTTTCATCTCGGCTAGTGAAGCCTCTCGAGATAAGTGTGTTTGTGTGTGTGTGTGTTTGTGTGTGTGTGTGTGTTTGTGTGTGTGTGTTTGTGTGTGTGTGTGTGTTTGTGTGTGTGTGTTTGTGTGTGTGTGTGTGTGTGTGTGTGTGTGTGTGTGTGTGTGTGTGTGTGTGTGTGTGTGTGTGTGTGTGTCTCTGTGTGTGTGTGTTGAACTGTGTGGTGGTCTGTGTGTGTGTGACTGTGTGTGTGTGTGTGTCTGTGTGTGTGTGTCTGTGTGTGGGAGTCTGTGTGTGTGTGTCTGTGTGTGTGTTCTGTGGGTGGGTGGTGGTGGTGGGTGGGAGGGTGGGTGGGTGGGTGGGTGGGTGGGTGGGTGGGTGGGTGGGTGGGTGGGTGGGTGTGTTTGTGGGTGTGATTGTGGGTGTGTGTGTGCGTGTGTGTGCGTGTGTGTGCGTGTGTGGATGTGTGGGTGTGTGTGGGTGTGGGTGTGTGTGTGTGTGCGTGTGCGTGCGTGTGTGCGTGTGCGTGTGCGTGTGCGTGTGCGTGTGCGTGTGCGTGTGCGTGTGCGTGTGCGTGTGCGTGTGCGTGTGCGTGTGCGTGTGCGTGTGCGTGTGCTGTGTGCGTGTGCGTGTGCGTGTGCGTGTGCGTGTGCGTGTGCGTGTGCGTGTGCGTGTGCGTGTGCGTGTGCGTGTGCGTGTGCGTGTGCGTGTGCGTGTGCGTGCGCGTGCGCGTGCGCGTGCGCGTGCGCGTGCGTGCGCGTGCGCGTGCGCGTGCGCGTGTGCGTGTGCGTGTGCGTGTGCGTGTGCGTGTGCGTGTGCGTGTGCGTGTGCGTGTGCGTGTGCGTGTGCGTGCGCGTGCGTGTGTGCGTGCGTGCGTGCGTGTGTGTGTGTGTTTTCCTATATGACGGTGCTTTGTGAAGGAATCGCTTTGGTGCAAGGCACTCCGCAGGGCACATCCCGTTTGCGTTGTTGGTTTTCGCTCCGGGAACGAAAACTGGGGCTGCTAGGGGACATGCTTGGGCTGGAGCAAGCAGAGTTTCTTCAAAGGTGCATGCTGGGTGTGCCTTTGTTCCGTAGAGAGCCGTTTGCTGGAGCTCGCGCAAGTGCTGGTTATTCTTTCGTGCACCAGTGCCTTCGTTCCGTGCGCAAAGCCAAACTGCATTTGGTGCCTGCAATGGGCCAAGTGGTCGCTCTTCTAACTTGTCCAGCGGCTGGCCACTTTTTTCTACCCAGCGTAACTCCCCACATTTCTGGACGACCCAAAAGGAGCTTCCTTCACACACACATTCCAAACAAATCGACAATGGTTGATACTAGTGGTTGATTGGATTTTAGTCGCAGAGGCTCTTGGATTTTCGCATCTGGGTACGAATAGAATTAAGATGTGCTCGCCAAGCACTTCGTTGGCCCAGGACTGGCTGGATTTCACCAACAACCTTCGCTTCCCCTTGCGCTCGGGGATGCCATCGGGAAACATTGCGACACTTGGCATGTGCATTCGAGCGTGCGCGGGATGGCAGAACATGGCAAAGAACAAAAAGATGTGGGGAAAGGCTGTAAACATGTTGGCACATGACTGCTGCTTCATCAGGCCGGCGGCGCAAGCTGGACGCAGAATCCCCTGCTGTATCTTACTGTGCCAGATTTATGACAGACATTCGCACCAGGTACAGCAGTGTCATGTCTTTAGGGGTTCACGGGGTCCTGGATTGTTTTGGTTGCGTTTGAATGAAAGCAAAAAGGGAACGGAAATACTCTCCCGGGGGGTTCTTATTTTGAGAGGTGTTTCTCTTGTGGAGGTCTGAAGGACTCTTCTGGTGCGCCAAGCTCCCGCGCTTCAGCACCCAACTGTGCGGCGGCCTTTTCCCTTTGGCTCTCCGGTAAACATCGTATAACATCGGCATCAACCTCTGCTTTTGCCCCGAAGCCAACCTATGATGTTTGATTCTCCATAGTTGGTGGACGACAGAATAGGTTCAAAAGAGATGCGGCTTCAAAAGGTGTTCCCTTTTCTACCTTGCAGTTGGCATTGTCGAACTGGGCGCTAAAGCACGTGATCAAAAGCAAACAAAGCAAAGAGGATGGAGTTTGCTCAATTTGCCAGACATCCTATGTGGCACGTTTTTTGTTTTGAACAGCTGCTAGGAGGATCCTGTTTGGCACGTGGTAAACTGGAGTCCCCATGCGAGGAAGGCCAACGAGGAGATGCCCTTGGAGGGCTTCTTCACTGCGTTGCTGAATCGCCCCTTCAACATCCGACCCGACAATCCCATTAAAGCAGGCGTGGAAAAGGGCCGGGAGGGCTCGAGTTTAGGAAGAACCAGGCCATGGTGCTTAAAGGAAACCAGAAGGGAGGCTGTTTAAAGCTGCCCACACGCAGATGACGGTGTTGTCCCACTGGCCAGCAGACAGGGGAGCTTTTTGCAAAAAAAAGGCCTTGAACAGAACAAGTGCAAAAAGCAGCCAAGAGGGCAACTTCAGTTGCAGATAAGGGTTGCCTCAAACTGGAGGCGAGGGAAACTTTGAAATCGGCAGCTATTGAGTTCGCTTTTGAAGCAAGCCCAAACGAGGTACCCTCAAGCTAAGAAACCACATGATCGGCTGAAAGCCAATCTAGCACACCACACCTTACAACGCACGCACCTGGCCCCCAAGCCAAGCCTCGCCGCTCGCCGAGCCCCTGAGGTCTCGAGGTCATGGAAATCTTCCGGTGGTGAAACTGCGGACGGAAAATGAGGGAAAAGGAATGTCCTTCCCGGGCATCGGGACGCTTGCGCGTGTTTGCTACAGGCTGTTGTAATGATTTGTGTAAACACACACACACACACACACCTGGATCAGGGGAGTAAGTAAGTTCAAGATTTGGTTGTCAAGGTCGGGATACGCTGTTGACACGGTTGATAAGTTTCGATCAAAATGTTTGCCGTCGTCAGCTTGGGTGTCGGTTGTCACTGACTGGCGGCTGGTGGTTGCTGCAGGCTGGTCGCAATTTGCTTGCGGAGCCCTCAAGTCCGGTGACATGAAGTTGCAAGGATCCTCACGCGGGTCATCCCAGGGTGACTTCCCCATTCTGTTCGGGGAATTTTCTAGTCAGCAAACCAGTTACAACCTGGGAAATCGTCAGGGTTGAAAAAGAACACAGTCGTAAATCAAGGGGACTCAACTCTCAGGGGAACCGGCTTCAGGAGAACCCTAAGGCCGCAGACATCAAGACCATCCTGGAGGCTTGAATCCTGCCGGATGGTAGCGGTTTTCCTACGTGTGTTCCAAACGGATCACAAATTAGGATGGATCAGAGGTGCCCCCCATGTTGAACAACTCAGTTGAGGCTGAAAACCCGAATCCAAATCAGATACGCAAGCCGGGGAGTGAGTCGTGCCTCAGCAGGGTTGCTCTGGGCTTCAGTTGTCCCCACGTCAGGGTGCACCTGTGATCTCCTGTTGCTTTCATCAGAAGCCTCATGTTGTGAAGGCTGCAAAGAAATGTTGCTATGTAACGATACATGAATGATGTTAGTGTGCTTATTATTAGTATTAGTCATTACTATCATGAGCAATATTATTGCCATTAACTTATGACAATAATCATCATCATCATCATCATCATCAGCAGCATCATCATCGATGAATCATCATCATCATCATCATCATCATCATCATCATCACCATCACCATCACCATCACCATCACCATCACCATCACCATCATCATCATCACCATCACCATCATCATCACCATCATCATCATTGTTAGCCTTGTTACTATGGTGTTGGAATGTTTTGGCAAACTCCTGAATCAGTCAGTTCCACATTCCTGGCTTGGTAGGGAATCCTGGGAAGCTCTCGATGCACGTCCGAGAGAACGCTAACAGCACGCCATTAAATGGGGGAATGCAACTAGTTTTGACACGCGGGCACAGGCACACACGCACACATCCAAATGAGAAACTGACGAGATTGCTGATAGTCGATTGTTGGTTTAAACATGGGGGGCCACCCACCTTGGCTGCAAAACCAGTGCAGGCCACCGTGTCTCTAGGGGACATGCAACAAACCAGGCTGATATTCAAATGAGCAGCACCCAAACCCCGCATCCTGTTTGTAGCAGGGTTCTACTACTTGGTTTCATGCGGGTAAAATAACTATGTAACGCCTTTTAGAACACTATTGGTAGAACCAACAGTCAATGGGTTTCGCTGCTCTCCCCCATTTGCGGAGGTGTATCAAGCTTCTGGCGGCAGGATTGAGACACCATGTGTTGGGAACTCGTTTTTTGCAGAGCCTGTCTTTTGAGCTCCATTTTGCCTTTTGGGCTGCTAGGGCCCAGCGAAATCCGAGCTGGCGGCTCTAAGCTGAGCTCAGGCGGGTGGCATCAGCTTTGAGGAGGATCTGATCACCAAGCTCTGCGAGAGGATGGACGGGCAGAAGGCCGGGCTTCGGGTGAAGCCATCCAGCTGTTCTTGATTGGGTTCCCATTTGGGCATGTTCCAAAATAGACAGAGAAACGCACGCTTGAAAATTGTAGTTCGCTTTGGTTTCGCTGTTAGCCAACCTGAAAAGGGTACCCTCAAAAGCATACACTCTTGACACCATCTAAACGGGGGGCTCTCATTTGGATTCAGACCCATTTGAGGTCCATTCAAAACCTCCAAGCAAGTTTTTGTTGGACATATTCGCAAGATGCTTTGTGGTATCTTGCCCCAATCCTTCGGGGTGGTGTGGGAGGGGGGGGGGGGCGGGTGATTGGAGCTCACTTTGGTCCACATCTCAAATAGAATGTGGTTTGCCTATGCAGACGTTGGTCCGTATGAAAAGGCGAAGCGCAAAGCTGGGAGCGAGGTTCTCTCAGGTCTCGTTCTACTGGGATCCTGCCCAGATGCACTGCATGCATGGAAGTGAGCACAGCCACTGAGGGCGTATGCAATCTATATTCCTGTTCTGTTGGCAGGAGGGGGGCGAGGTGGCGGGCAGGGGGGGGGGGAGCACTGTGGGGTGTTCATTCAACATCTGCATGAGCACTCTCTCGGGCAAGCAAGTTCCTGTTGCATGAGAAGGCGAGGTTCCTTTTAAGCGTGAAATGTGAGTGAAACTAGCTGTAGCTGTGGGCACGGCAATCATCAACCGGTTCGGCTTTGTCAATAGTTCTACTGTAATTGGGGAGTAAGGTATGCAGGCATTGGTTGAAGCATAGACGTTTTGGCTTGCTGGTTGGCAGTACATATTTGACGCATGACTTGAAGTTGGGTGTGTGTGCAGGGCGAAGTATTGCCATGCTTCGGGGGCATTGCAAATGTGGACACCTACTGAAGTCAGAATTCTGCGCCAGACCCAACACTTCTTGTCCCAGCAACGTTATGCTACCAAGATATGCCATGCGAGTGTATGCGCGTGTGGGCTCTATGCTTAACGTTTTCCCTGTTTGGATGCCTTCAGTTGGGAGATTGCTGGGTTTCAGGCCAGTATGATGTGTATGTACATGTGTATAATGTGTGCATGTGTACAGAGGGCACTAAAATGGGCCGGCACCAGCCCCAGTTTTGCAGATGGCACTTTGGGGATGGAGGATTTGGAGAGAACATGCCGAACAAGCAAGTTCTTTGCTGGAGAGCCCCCTTTCAATGGCCAAACGGTTGCATACGGTTGCTTCTGACTTTGTCACATGTCCAGTATGCGTGTCGCCTGCCTCCTTCCAGTCATGGAAGCTGACACGAGGGCTTTGGAAAACCACTTTTTATTCTGAGGACGCCGCTTGCGATTGTTGGGAAAGCTAACTTATGCTTTCCAGGGATGCTTCTTTTTGAGAAAGCCACCGACCTACCAAACAGCCGGTCGCGGAAGAGAACGATGCTTGAAGAGAATGGAACAAGGTCCCCGTTTTTGGAGGCGAAACCAAACGGAAGGAAGCCAACTACCTGCCTGAAATAGGGGTCCGTACTTGGATGGTCAGGGAAAGCTGGAAGGAAGCCAAGCAATTTAAAGGGGTCCCTAATTTTGAGCACTCCAAAATGTACGCCGGAGGCTCACGAAATGATCGCCAAGGGCATCACCAAGTTTGCGGCCTGCGGCGGCGGCGGCGGCGGTGGCGGCGGCGGCGGAGGCACCTTCCTGTGCTGCCACCGGTGAGGTTGAATGCTTTTGGGAAGGCAAAGGGAAACCAACCGTTGGAGGAGAAACCCCAGGCAGGTTGAGGGAGTTCACCTACTTCAAGAATGGGCCGAAATAAGTGGACATGGGGGTGGGGGGGTGGGTACTTTGAAGCCTGGTTTAAAGCCCCAGCAACACGGAAGGGTACCCAACAAATGCAAGGCCTCAGATTCTGGCTGGGCCGTGAGCGTAATTCCTGTTTCACAGTTGGGTGGTGGCCTCTTAGACATTTCTCCTTTGTGCCGCACCCTCTTTTCCAGCGCCTCCCCGCACAGACTGGGTGACACCCCATTGCCTAAAGTGTTCAGGCTTTTTTGTCCATGCACAGTAGCATAGTCTGCGGGTGCCTGTGGTCAGCTAGAGCAAGTTGCAGCCTTTCAAGGAGGCTTGAAGCGCATGCACCAGCGAAGGATCACATGAATTCCGCTCATTTGGATTGGTCCCGAACAAAGAGTTGAGGAATTGCCTTTTTCCGGCAGATTGCATGGACCCAGATATAGGAACTAAGGGCCATATTGGTTTGTGTGTACTTTCCTATAGTCTATCGCAATTGTTAATGCGGGGTTCATTCCAGGATTCATGGGTCCGCACATTGCTTTGCATTTGGTTTGACCTTCAGGCTTCAACTCTTTTCGCGAAAGTCCTTTCTGTGTTTCCCACTAACAGATTAAAACAATTCCTGCATTTGGGATCATTTCCATAATACTTATGGGATGTTACAGTTACAAATATTTGCTAAGCAATCAATGATACTTGCCATGTCATCTATTTCTCTCCTTGGAAGTCTTGTTTGGGGACATCACATGTATACTGTACGTTTCGAAAGTGATACAAGAGCTTATTTTACAGGAGTTGCAATGTTAACATTTTTCCCAACTGGTATTGCCGATCGGGGCACCCGGATAAAGGCGGTGCCGCGCCGGCCGCCGGCGGCGGCGGCGGCGCTGCAGCGGAGGCCGGCACCGAGGGGATGCGGCCTAAGACATTTGCCGTGTCCCCCGGTTCATTGGCGCGCAGAGTCCCCAACTAAACATGAAGAACCGCAAGAAATGTGGTTGGCCACTGGGCAAGGTTGAACGCTAGCTTTTAGCATATCTTCAGGAAAAGGATCCTGAAACACGAAACAAATCCAGGTGGTATTGGAGAACAGCAGAGTATAAACAGCAGAGTAAATCATGTATTGATCATGCCCTGCTGATTCCCGTATAGTCACATGGGCACAGCCCAAGTTCCTCAGGCCAGATCCAAGGTCGGAGAGCACAGGTTGCGCACCCCGCAGGTTCTGTTTCAATTGAACCTCTAGAAAACCCAGGGGTCGCTGGATTTCCCCTTCACAAGTTGCAGTTGACTGATGGTTTCCCTTGAAACTGCCAACTGCCACTTTTGGAGACTCTCAAAGCTGGTGAGGGGCACCTGTTGAGGGTCTGGTTTTGTCAGCTTGGCCATGTGCGACAGTTCCCGGAGAAGCTAAGGACAAGCCCTTCAAGAAACCTTGGGTTAGCTGGGGGATACTCCCGCCCCACACCAAAGGCCGTGACACTACATGCGCTTCAAATAGCTTCTGGTGCGCATTGCCACATGTCAGCTTCCTTTGGCTCCCAAGAGCTGACTTGGGTCCTTTGGCACAGGAGAAGAAGAAGGTCGAGGAAGAGGAGGAAGAGGAGGACGGATTGACACCTGCAGCTGTTATCACCATTCTTTGAGGCCTTGGACAATCCCTACATCTACCTCCCTATGGAGGGTCGTTCTTGTGCGCAGCGTCGGCCAGTAAGAACCTCCAGTCCCCCATTTTAGCTTTCGGAATCCTCTAGCAGGTTGGATTTGGTTTTTCGTGCTCGCGGCCGTTCCATATCTCGCACACGTAACAATCCATGTATTACGAAGGTGACTGGATAGCGAAAAGCGACATATATGATCCCACTACAGCTGCATCTTCACCTTTCACTTCTTCCTGAACTTCAGCATCCACTACTAAGCTACTAGTTGGGCAACAGTGAAAAGGCGCCACAGAACCGGCATCCAGTGGAAGCTCTCAGACATCCAGTTGAATACTTTAGGGCGTTTGCTCGTCATCATCATAATTGTCATCATATTTGCCTTCTTCTTCTTCTTCTTCTTCTTCTTCTTCTAAGATTCTGCTCCACTGCGACCACTGACACCATCAGGATTCTGCAGAGTCCCGTCACAGCAATGAAGCAAGTGCATGTCCAATTTTGACGCCTGAGAACCGGCCCGTGGGAGCAGAGCAAGAAGGGGTGTAATGAAGTGGCGTAGATCCAGTTACGGACGACAAAGGGAACAGCAGGGCCCGTTGGCGCGGTGGGTTTAGGGGGACTTCTTGGGCGATTCCCGCATGGCCAGACGCGAAGGAACACCGCAACGAGCTGAAACACAGTGGCCCTGTGGCGTTCCACGACTGAAGAGGGTTCCAGGCAAGCAAAAGGGTGCACATGAGCCTCCATGCACAGGCCGGCTGGCATGAGGAAGGTAAGATGGAGGTGCAAACATTTTCGGACGAATCGAAGGTGCCCTCCACGGGCGGAGCAATGAAGTTGCACGACCCACAGACCACAGAAAACAGAGAACAGAAAAAAAGCAAAAGGCAAGAAGCCGAGCAGCAGCAGAACCGGGCACAGCCCAGCTAGAAGCACGATCTGCCAGGAGCTGTCCGGCCTCTTGGGCAATCCCTTAACATTGTGGCACAGCCCCATATGTTGTCTGCGATGCGTTCGGAGGCCAAAGCCTTGAGCGCTACGGACATTTGCAAGAGATGCAGATAACAACGACACTTAGGGGAACACAGGACTCAGACATTGACGGACATTGAGCAGGTTTTTCTGTTCTTATGGTTTCGCTTCAAATTCCAATCAAAACAAATGGGCCTTTCCACCGTTTTGAGAAGCGCCCAAATGAGACAATCGAGAGCTCAGCAGTGCCGTGTCCAAGGGATGCCCTGAGAAGCTGACGAAATCAAAACGGGTCTGCTGAACTTTGAAACTCGCAGGGAGTCCCTTTGGCTCCATCCAGCGAGGAATCTTTGTTGCTGACGGACTGAAGTTGCATTTGTGACATTGAGTCTTCCGTAAGTGTCTGCTCGTAGGAGATGGATTTCGACCTCTTCGGCTGAACAACGGGTTGCGAATACACCTACAAAATATGGCAACATGTATATAATCTACAATTTACAATGCATTATGTTTGAGTTGATTAATCGATGGGGTTTGTTTTGTGAATTTGAACGCGGTCTGGAATACCATTTTTGGAATCGAATGTATTGAAATAGATTCTAACCAAATTTTGATATTTGAAGGATATTGCATTATATATATTGTGAAATTGAAATTATATGTAGAAAAATGATATTTGGGATTCTCGCAGAGACCATGGCCCGACTGGATTTGTTCCTGGCAGAGAACCTGAAGGTTTTCTACATCTGGGAGCACGAATTCAAGGAGTGGCAGAAGGAAGAAGCTCGGCTGCAATTGGAAGAGCTGGGCTGCAGAGGGTGGTGCAAGAGACGTGCGCTCCTGAACCCCACCCAAGTCCACCGTTCCTTGGTCAGTCCCTGTGTCAGCAATGAGTTTGTTAGGTGTCAATTAGTAGGCTTCCCCCTTGTTGGACTTGATCTTGCAAACCCTGATCTTTTCGAATCTTGGCTGCGTCTCGGCAAGTGGGCATTTCAAGGCCTCAACACTTTCCTCAGAAGCCTTGCCCAGGTCGCCTGCGGCGCTGTTCCATCCCTTGCCGGGCGTTTGCATCGGCACGTCGCTGCAGAAAAAAAAATCCAACTGCCGTGCCGTACGCCGTTGGATTGCATCCTGGCTTGGAAGGCCTACATGTCCTACTCCTTGTTTTGCAAGAAGCCGGAGCGCGAGGTACAATAAATTGTCCCTTGGTTCTACATGTTTCAACCATTGCAGATGTGTCCAGAGCCTGTCCGGCAATTCAAGAAGCACAGTTCACGCTGAGGGCTGAGAGCTGCTTTGCTTGAAGCATGCTTGACATGTGCATGGCCATGTTCCCGGTACAACTTGGACATTGATCGACTTTCTCTCCAGTCCGCAGCTGCACGGTTGGTGGCCATGGCAGGGTGCCTGGCGCAGGCGCTTCGGAAGGCCAGGCGTTCGGGGCCGGCAGGGCAACGCTTGGTGGGAAACGAGCGTAGGAAAGTGAACGACTTTAGGCTCGCCCACACACTCATTCTCACTCTCATCACATCCTCTCCATCCAGTTTGCAGAGACCATGGAGCTCGGGTGGCCCGCAGGCGGTTGCAGGTTCAGCAAACCTTGACAAAACAGCGTTTGCATGTCGGTGTCGGCGTCAAATATCCAACAAATTGGTTCCCAACGAATTCGTTGAAGCTGCCAACACAAGACTCCAGGCATTTCCTCAGTGCTGTCGGGTCTCTGGACGTGGCTTGCGCAGGCTGCTCATGCCTCACACGCGCAGCTGGCGCAGGTTGGCAGCAGGCAGCCATGCGAAGTAGTCCAGGCAATACAGCGACCTTTTGAGGGATTGGATTTTGGCATGTGCTGCCAAATGTGAATGTGTGTTTTCGCACAAAAGTCTGCAGAACAGACCTGCCAGGATGCTATCCAGCTTCAATCATTTGGGCTATTTGGAAGGTCGGGGTGCCACGGCGTCTTGATGCTTTGCTAGAAGAGGCTTGATTTGGGCTAATCCGAAGTGGGGAGGTGTGTCTTGGCATTGTCGAATTTGACTGACAACCATTGGCTGCTGATGCTTCTAAAGAAGCTGAATTCGAGTTGTCTTGAATTGCATCGGTTGGTTGGGAGAGTCGGTGTGTCAAGCTTGTTGATGCACTGCTTGACGGTTCTGGCTCTGGGCTGCGTCAGCAGAGGTCGAGAGGTAGGTCTTGGTGTGGTTCAGTTCCGATGCTCCCTGCTCTTCAGGCCGTGCAGCTTTGCAGTCCAAAGTCTGCAACTGAGAGCCCTGTCCATTGCGCAGAGTGCATGCACCTCTCCAAACGTGCACATCGGGTCATGCACGGCAGTGTCGGCTGGGAAGGTGAGTTCCAAAGAGCAGCACCAAAGGACTGCAAAGGAAGTGCATGTGCCAGAACTGCCGGACTTGAAAAAGCCATCATCCACTAACTCAAAGCAAGGTGCAGATCCAAGCAAGGCGAGCTTGTGCCTTTGTGGGCGGGCAAAGCCAACATTCGGATGGGCAGAAGATGTGAAGCCCTCCTGTTGCGGTAGATGCAAGGCAGAAGGGATGGTGAAGCTTCGGGGTTCCAAGTGCAGATGTGGCAGAGCACGGCCATCATTTGGGATGCCAAGTGATGCCAACCCCACTTGCTGCAGCAAGTGCAAAGCCGACGACATGGTGGATACCAAACATCGAAGATGCCAATGCGGAAAAGCCCAGCCGCATTTTGGTTTTTCCAACGATGCGCGGCCTACATGTTGCAGTCAGTGCAAAAAGGAAGACTGGGAAACATCATTAGTCGCAGGTGCAAGTGTGACACAGCCGTGCCTTGTTTTGGCTATGCTGGCGATGCCCGCGCCACGTGCTGCAGCAAGTGCAAGCGTGAAGGCATGGTAGACATCAAGAATCTACGGTGCAACTGTGGTAAAGCCCGGCCTTCTTTTGGCTTCAGCGATGATGTGCGACCCACTTGCTGCAAGCAGTGCAAGGCAGCTGAGATGGTGGACATCAGAAGTCCAAGATGCAAGATATGCAACAAGCTAGCCTTTTATCCAGATGAAGTTGGTCGCCCGCGACAGCTTTGCGCAGCCCATTCTGCCGAAGTGGGAGCCCACACGCGGTCGCCCCCTGGTCGATCCCGGATTGCCAGTGAGTGCTTTGATGCTTTGGAGGCCGAGTGGGGCTACAAGCTGCCCTTCCGCTACAGATTTGACACAACTACTGGCACTTGGTCCGGTGAAGAGTTTGCAGGGCTGGTGCCAAGTCGAAACCTGCAGCCGGACGCCTACGACCCAGAGGCCCGCAAAATATTCGAGTTTCTGGGAAATTACTGCCACGGATTCCCCCCGGAGCATCCGCAGCAATTCAGCTAGATAGTATGCTTTGAGCTGACTATGTTTAGTCACTTCTTGTTCTTTTGCCAGTGCCATTTTGGGCTTTGCGGCCAAGGCACGACAGTTTCGTGTGCGTGAGTGGCCGACCTGCAGCTGAGCTGCACGCAGAGACCATGGCACGCCTGGACTTGTTCCTGGCAGAGGGCTTTGAGGTGGTCTACATGTGGGAGCATGATTTCATCCAGTGGCAGAGGGAAGCCACTTGACGGCAAGCGGAAGATGGACGGCAGCAGGAAGAATTGTTCAGAGTTCCCCAGAAGTTTCAAATGAATGTAGAAGTGAGCATGACGACGAGTGAGCTCCAAGCTTGTGTTGGCATGTCCACATCCTTGTCAAATTGACCACTTGGCTGCGCAAAATTGCGCACACTCCTCCAAGGTCGCCTCGGGCACGTCCCTTGCCCTTGCCACGCAGTTGAACCAGCATGGCACTGCCGCTGACAAAAAGAAGCTCGCGGCACGCGCAGACGTTGGTGAACGCGTGCTGGGAGGACTCAGGTCTTGGTCTGTGGTGGGCTGTTTGTGCACATGGTATCGTTGAGATCGCACAACACCATGCTGCAATGACATTGTGAGGACAATTGCAAATAAAATCAGCGACGTTTTGTGTTCTCATGTGTGACTTGATTGCTTGAAGTCGTCCAATTCAGGGATGCTCAGGATGTAGCTCTTTGTACGGTGGCACCGTAAGTAAAGCGGAGATGTGCTGCGGTCGGTTGAAAAACACATGCTCTCATCATCCTCAGTGGTGGGTCAGATGCCGATATCCGCTTTGGGAAGTGCTTTAGATGATGCCTGTCGTGAGATGGAGCATATGAAGCATCAACGACCGTGAAGGCTGGAAGCTTATTGATGGGATTTGGGATCTTGCCTTTTGTCCATGCAGGGAAAACAAGAACCTCCATTGACAGGTCTAATAAATGCCCTACACCAGATCTGATTCAGTTTCAAGCAGCTGGACGCATTGCAGAAGACGCACCAAAAACTTCAGCGTGCTCGGGCTTTGGCAGCTGCCACAGGCACTTGCACCCGGTCCAACATGGCGGCCTGCCTTGCGCGGGGTCTGCAGAAGGCGGCGCATGGGGAAGGCCAAGACGAATCAGCCGGAAGGGCCACTGACTGGGTGGCCACTTGCTGTTGCCAATTGTGTCGGTCGTGATGGTTGCTGGCGGCAACGACTTTCAGCTTCCTGAAGCAGTGAACGTTCGGGACTTGGATGCTGATTGAAGAGCGGCATGAAGTGGCGGTTGGACACTTTGTTGAGGTTGGCACAAAGTGGCGCAGGTGGTGCACCCTCCGCAGCTACGGCCAGTAGTGGCGACTTGCAGGCCGGGGCACGAGTCATTGATTGTTTGGCCTAAGATATACATGTGCTTGACTAGTCCGAACGAAACCTAATGGGACGAGCAGGGGACGAGCATTTGTTGCCTTTGCTCGACCGGGATAGAGAGTGGAGGTTGGGCCTGTTGCCTGCCTTTGTGTGCATTGGCTGCAGGAAGCGCTCAGATGCAGTGGCATGTCGTTGCAGAGCACCAAGACTTGGAGTGACAATGAAGCTTAGAGAAACCAGTCTCTTTCCCGGAAAATCGGCGCAGTATCTCTTTCCCGCAAAATCGACGCTCACGCTTTCTCCTCATGTCTCAACCTCCCGCTTGGCCAAGCTGTTGTTCTATTCCCGGGGGGGTCACCATCCTGAGGCTCAAAGTCGAGTTTGCTACTTGTAGGTGGCTGTTCCCCTTCGACTGTTCATTGCCCCGTACATATGAACGGCACTCCTTGCATGCACAGAGTGTACACGCCGGTGTTTGAGCGCACTCATGAAAACCTGTCAGGCCTGGCTTCTGGGATCACGGACCTGTGCCTTTCCAGCAAGATGCTCGCAGGTTTGCTGCGACTCCGCCAAAGCTCCCCATTGCCACATTGCGCGTAGACCCGCCGCCACCCAGCGGGCAAAAAGTCAAGGCAAGCGAGGCAGGGAGTCTTTGTTCTTGCGGCCGAGTGAAACCCGCTTACGGGTGGCCGCAGGATGCAGATCCCTCCTGCTGTAGCAGATGCAAAGCTGAGGGCATGGTCAAGCTTCGTGGTTCCAGGTGCAGATGTGGCAGAGCCCAGCCATCCTTTGGGATGCCAGGTGATGAGAGAGCCGCTTGTTGCTGCAAGTGCAAAGTTGAAGGCATGGTGGACATCCGAAGCCCAAGATGTCAGTGTGGCCAGGCTCGACCATGCTTTGGCTTCCCCAATGACGAGCGGCCCTCTTTCTGCAGCAAGTGCAAAGTTGACGGCATGGTTGACATCAAGAATCGCAGATGCAAGTGTGGCAGAGCTCAGCCCCAATACGGCTTTGCTGGGGATTCCCGAGCTTCTTGCTGCAGCCAATGCAAGGATGAGCGAATGACAGTTATTGTCGGGCGAAGATGCAGATGTGGCTCCGCAAGACCTATTTTCGGCTTTGCCCATGACGAGCAATCGTCTTGCTGCGTCAAGTGCAAACTTGACGGCATGGTGGACATCAAGAATCCGCGCTGCAGGTGCGGCAAGGCTCAGCCATCTTTCGGCTTTGTCAATGACGCAAAGCCCTCTTGCTGCAGCAAGTGCAAAGCTGATGGCATGGCAAACATCGTGAGCCCAAAGTGCAAGTGCGGCAGGGCCATTCCTGCCTTCGGTTTTGCTGGGGATTTACGGCCCACTTGCTGCAGAAAGTGCAAAGAGGAAGGCATGATCGACATCAAAAGTCGCAGGTGCCAGATTTGCAAAAAGTTTGCTTCTTATCCAGATGCGGCTGGTAGGCCAAAGCAGCTTTGCGCAGCCCATTCTGCCGAAGTGGGAGCCCACAAGTTGTCCTCCCCTGGCCGATCCCGCATTGCCAGCGAGTTCTTTGATGCCCTGGAGACCGAGCTTGGCCGTGAAATGCCCTTCCGTTACAGATTCGATGCGGAGACTGTCACCTGGTCAGGCGAGGAGGTTGCAGGACTGGTGGCAGATCGCAACCTGCAGCCTGATGCATACGACCCAAAAAGCGGCATAGTGGTCGAATACCTCGGGAATTATTACCATGGTTTTCCACCGGAGCATGTGCAGTAGCTTTGCTGCATAGCCATTTCTGTTGTTTGCCTACTAATCTTGCCTGTGCTATCTTGAAGCGAGTCAGATTCAGTCGACTTGCAGTAGTGGTGCGAGCAAATATTCTCAAACATTTAGCTTGCTGGTCTTTGGCTTTGGTTTGACCCTTCCCCACAACGTTTCTCTTGGGTGCCGGTCTATCAACGCAGGCACGGCAGCTTCACTTGTGTGGGCGGCCGACCTGCATCCAAGCTGCACGCAGAGACCATGGCCCGACTGGATTTGTTCCTGGCAGAGAACCTGAAGGTTTTCTACATCTGGGAGCACGAATTCAAGGAGTGGCAGAAGGAGGAAGCTCGGCTGCAATTGGAAGAGCTGGGCTGCAGAGGGTGGTGCAAGAGACGTGCGCTCCTGAACCCCACCGTTGCTTGGTCAGTCCATTTGTCAGCAATGAGTTTGTTAGGTGTCAATTAGTAGTCTTAGACAGAAAATTCCTGCGTGGGAAATGCTGGAATCCCAGCGTCAAGCAGACCTTTCTGTGCCCCTTGTTGGACTTGATCTTGCAAACCTGATCTGTCCGAAGCGTCTCGGCAAGTGAGCATTTGAAGGCCTCAACACTTTCCTCAGATAGAGCCTTGCCCAGGTCGCCTGCGGCGCTGTTCCATCCCTTGCCGGGCGTTTGCATCGGCACGCCGCTGCAGAAAAAGGATCCAACTGCCGTGCTCGGATTTGATGTGCGATTGGATGTTGCTAGGAAGGTGTATGTGTCCTGCACCTGGTTTTGCAAGCAGCCGGAGCGCGAAGTACAATAAATCGTGAGTTGGTACTACATGTTTCAACCATTGCTGATGTGTCCAGAGCCTGCCCGGCAATTCAAGGAGCACAGTTGACGCTGAGAGCTGCTTTGCTTGAAGCATGCTTGACATGTGCATGGCCCCCCATGCTTCCGGTACAACTTGGACATTGATCGACTTTCTCTCCAGACCGCTGCAGAAGACTTCCGCTTTGGTTGGTGGCCATGGCAGGGTGCCTGGCGCAGGCACTTCGGAAGGCCAGGCGTTCGGGGCCAGCGGGGCAACGCTTGGTGCAGAGACCCCAGAGCTCGGGTGGCTCGAGGGCGGTTGCGGGTTCAGGCAGACCTTGACGAAACAGCGAGCGCATGTCGGGGTCAGCATCAAATATCCAACAAATCGGTTCCCAACGAATTCCTTGAAGCTGAAAACACGAGACTCGAAGCACTGCCTCATTGACGTTGGGTCTCTGGGCGTGGCTTAATATTGAGAAAATAATGATATGAGATTGATTGAAAATATATTGTTATTATTGATATTATTATTAGTATTTAAATATATTTTGATTATATATTATTATAATTTAGAATTTAATTTATTTTTTTAGAAAATGAATGAAATATATATTTTATGATTATAAATATATTATATATATATATATATTATAGGTATTATTTTATACTAGTAGAGTTGGTGAAGTCGATGATTGGAAATCTTAAAAATATAAAAACTATAATTATTTTTCTCTTTTTTTTTGTTATTTTTTTTTCTTTTTGTTTTATATTTGTCTTTTTTTTTGTTTATTTATTTATTTATTTTAATTTATTTATATTTAATATTATTTATTTGTTTACTTTTTTATTTATTTTTTTAGTTATTTTTTTATTTATATATCGATTTATTTTTTATTTGTTTATTGTTTTTATTATTTTATATTTTTTTATTTTTATTTATTTGTTTTATTTTTTTATTTTTATTTATTTATCTTTTTATTTTGTTTTACCTTTTTTTATTTAATTTATTTTTCGAATATTTATTTATTTATTTTTTTATTTTTATATATATATTTATTTATTTATATATTTTTTCTTCTCTATTTTTTTATTTATTTATGTTTTTATATTATTATTTTACGTGTATTTATTTATTTCTCTATTTTTTTATTCTTATCTATTTTTGTATTTAATTATTTGTTATTTTTTTCTATTTATTTATTTATTTATATATATATTTTTATTATTCTTTATTTTTGTTTTTATTTATTTTTTTATTTATTTGTGTGTTTGTTTGTTTTATTTATTTATTTTTCTTTTATTTCTGTTTATTAAAATTGGGATGTTTAAATCCGACTACGAACATGGACTTTGCACACTACTTTTATACTTAAAAATTGCGATTTTTAAGTCTTAGTTACGAAAATTGATTTTATATACTATTTTCGTACTTAAAAATTGCGATTTTCGAGCCTCGGCTGCAAAAATTGACCTTGCAAAAATGTTGTGCTTGCCACGAAATTTGTATTTGACTTTGCGAAAGTGCTGCGCTTGCCACGAAATCTGCACTTGATGCGAACGTGCTGCACCTGCCACAAAATCTGGGCTTGACCTTGCGAAAGTGCTGCCCCTGCCACGAAATTTGTACTTGACCTTGCGAAAGTGCTGCCTCTGCCACGAAATCTGCACTTGACCTTGCAAAAGTGCTGCACCTGCCACGAAATCTGTGTTTGACCTTGCGAAAGTGCTGCGCCTGCCGCGAATCTGTGCTTGACCTTGCGAAAGTGCTAAGCTTGCCACGAATCTGTGCTTGACCTTACGAAAGTGCTGCCTCTGCCACGAAATTTGCATTTGACCTTGCGAACGTGCTGCGCTTGCTACGTAATCTATACTTGACCTTGCGAAAGTGTTGCGCCTGCGACGAAATTTGTACTTGACCTTGCGAAAGTGCTGTCTCTGCCACGAAATCTATATTTGCCCTTACGAAAGTGCTGCGCCTGCCACGAAATCTGCACCTGACCTTGCGAAAGTGCTGCGCCTGCCACACAATTCAACCCTTGGGGAAACTTGACCTTGCAAAAGTGTTGCGCCTGCCAAGAAATTTGTACCTCACCTTGCCACAGTGCTGCGCCTGCCACGCAATTCAATCCTTGGGGAAATTTGACTTTGCAAACGTGCTGCGCCTGCCACGAAATCTGCACCTCACCTTGCAAACGTACTGCGCCTGCCACGGAATTCAAACCTTGCGAAACCTTCGCGTCGCCGTGCCAATGGGCCCGCGTTGCGAACGTGATCCGAGAATGGTCCGATAATGGTCCGACCATAGTCCGATTAGGCGTCGCGAATAGGCTAGCTTTCAGTTCTTCGGATATGCAAATTCACACACAGGGCCACGCTTTTGGCGCACTTTGTCATCTGTTTTAGGGAGAATTAGCTTTCAATTAGTTGCCGTAACACGGAAGTTCCTTCTATACTTCCTTTAATAATATATTTTTATTATTTTTTAAATTATTTATTGGATTATATTTATGTATTTTTATAATAGGATGAATAGGTATGTGGAAATATGTTGATGTAAATTATTTATGATGAATTGAAAATGGGTTTATTAATCATATTTTGTGGGTTTTAATTATTTGATATTAAAAGGACATATTTATAAAATGATTTGAATTTACATAAAATTGAATATATTAAATATATATGTTTTGATATTATAATAAACAATTAAAATGATTGATTTGTGATAAGGATATTGTATTATTTGGATAAATATAATTAGAAATAGAGAATTTGTTTAGATATATTTTGTTGATTTTTGGTTTGGAATTTATTATTGGTATAAATGATTTATGTTTTTTTTTAAAAAAAATATATTTATATAATACAATTATTATAATTTGTTTAATATTATTTTAGACAAATAACATAATATAAATACATATATGTTTAATACAAATAATATTGTTTATTAATATTTAATTTTTAATATTATATTTAATATTATATTTAAAATATGGATGGATTGGATATTAAGGGAAAACGATTCCTTCGATTCCTTGCTCATATAGTAGATGAAAAACGCGCTTTCTATATTAGGCTTATATAAACCAGATTTAAAATCCGATTTTAATTTTAATTATAGAGAAATTATTATTTGGCATGTGAAAAGCATCGGGAGGCGGCGTTTAGCCGTATAAACAAGTGATTTTAGAAATATACTCCAAGAATAATAAATTAGTTTCCTTAAGATAAATATTTCGATCATTCCTTTTATATAACAATATCTTTTTATAATTATTTCCCTTATTTTGTGTTTAATAGAATTATCATTCCTTAAGTTACGAGGAATTTTATGTTTTTTAAATCGAAATTTTCGATTTTTTTTATGTATTTAAAAATCTCCATACCTAAAATAACATTAAATTACGAGTAAACGAGATTTTATCTACCAATTCTATTTTATTATTAATATTTGTGTTAAAAAATTAGGCTAAATTACCTATTATATTACAAATTACCAATTCTTTTACAAAAACAATTACACATAAATGGTTAATCCAACTCCAACTATTTAAATATATTATAATCTATCTATAATATCCAAAATTATTCTATCAATAATTTATATTAATAAAAAATATTTTCAATACATATATAAAATAAATATTATCTCCATATATATAAAATAAAATAAATTAAAACAAAAATACAATCAAAAATAATTCGAATAATAATATCAACAAATAAATAAACAATTTTACAATAATTACAACAATAAACCATTCAAAAACAAATTCATTAAATTCAAATAATTCATCAATTCGACATATATTAAAAAACAATTAAATTTTAAATAATAATTTCCAAACATATCCAAACCAACCCTATTTTCAATAAAATCATTATAATACATCCAATTACAAAAAAACATCAACACAAATATGCAATATAATACATAATAACAAAATCATAAATTTCATTTTATATTTTAATTTTAATAATTTTATTACCATCATCAATGAATATAATAATTAAATAAATTCTAAAAATAAATAAAAGAAATATCCCTTTTTCGAAACACAATCTTATATCTTACCCTTACGCGAACCTTCCGCAAGAAAAACAGAACAATCAAAAGGAGGAAAAAACGCAGAAATAGCCAACGCACAAAACGCTGCAATTTCCCTTAGTTTTGCTTCAATTGTCGTTTTTGTGCGCTAGCACGCCACTACAGCGGCAAGAAGCAGAAGCAGTATCAACAGAGCTGGGGGAAGGGCGCCAGTGGCCCACGCTGGGCGGCATTGTTTCGGACTCGCAGTACATGAGGTACACTTTGGCAGCTCCTAAACCTGTTGAGTGCCAGTGTGGTCCACAAGCAGCTCAAGCATCGCAGCTTTTTACGTGTGGGTACGCAAAGGCTTCATGCCATGACAGTACCCTTCCGCGAACCTTCCGCTGGCCCTTCCGCGATCACGGCGCAGAAACACCAAACATGCGTTTGTATTCAGTCCTTGTAACGAGCCTCACACAGATGTATGTATACATACAATGATTTGCTGGATTTAGATGTCGCTATGAATAGTTTTGAATTGTGTCTTATCACGTTTTTATTGCGTGAATGTGGATCTCACGGTACCTCAGTGGCAAGTATCCAGAACAGCAGTTTGTCAAGCCAGCCTATTTTCACTACGTTCAGCCCCACACATGAGCAAATCACATCAATGACAATTGCTGCAGATGACAGCAAATATGGATTGTATACTCAAACTTGTAAACTATCGACCCTGTTCTCTCACCGAGTATGTGTACGTGTCAAGATGGAGAAAGACAGACATGGGCATTCGCCAGACAATGGAGGAAAAAGACAACGCCTCAAAAGGCTTCAAAGCCACGCAAGGGCAGACTAGAACACCTGCCAACAACTCACAGCAAGGCAGAGGGGGAGGTCAAGAACCAGAGCTACGCTGCACCACCCAAGGGCCAAACTTAGACCCCACTGCAAAACATGCACTTGCTGCGGGGAAACAAAGGAAACCATCCAAACGGTGTGGCCAAAACGCCGGCAACGAGGCCGCGGCAAGACCTGCGAACTCTCGCAGAAGCCCAAGCCGATGGAACAGCTCCTGCACTGGGGGGCCCCCTCCACACCGACCAGTCGACTTGGATGGGAAAGACGAGCACCCTGTCAATGATTTCGATGGCATGCCGGCCGCAAGGAAGAGCACACTTTTGTGTTGGATGTGTGTTGGTTGAATCTACAGGGAAACCCGGACACCCATCCAAAGAAAAAGAGAAAGGGGCACAGGGCAACTGGGATCAGACCAGGGCTTGTCTGGCGATGGCACAATTGCCTGGCAAGTCAACAAGAATGCATGTGATGACTAATGAAAGTGATGGAACTGTGCCATTGTTCACCCTAACTAAATGATCTTGTGCCCTGTACGAAGAAAAAAATCGGGGTAAGCCCCCCCTTACATGCAATCCCTAGTCGCTCTCTTTGTTCTTACTCATCTAACCTAGTTTTGACTGTCCTGAAACATCCACTGGCACAGTCATGACAAAGGATCTCAAAGGAATACAGTTTCAGATACTTATCTAACTCTTTTGGTGTTTCTCTAAAGAAAATCGAGAATAAAATCATTGCTAAGATTGCAACTGATAATCAATGTGTTTTGAGGCTTTCATGTCATGTTTCTCCTTTTCTCAAACATTTGTTGAGCGATCACCTAGTTAAATACATCTCCGAATAATGTACGAGCTCCATGCCACAAATGGCTAAAGAAGAATAGTAGTCTTTCATGGGCTTTGTTGCCGCAACCAAACCTTAGTGAAGCCGCTTCAATTTTGCCCAGAAACGATTGAACCTTTCGGTGGCTCAGAGGGAAATACCCTGGCAATAAGCTTGGTATTCAGAAGGGCCCAGGATGAAACTCGCAACAACTCTTCACTCAGATGAAACTGGTTCTCACGCACGGCAACGGGGTGGGTCAAAGCAATCCCGTCGGATCCCGGGTTTGGCCATGTTCCCTTACCCTTCCAATACTCCATAGCAAGGGCGGCAGCCAAGACCATCCTTGCTATGGCTCCCTTACCCAAACACACCGGGAGCCTTTCACCATTTGTGGCTCCCCCTCACTGCAAAATACGGAAACACGCAATGATTTGTTGTTCAGGGGTTGACATCATACTGCAAAAAAGAGGGCCTTGGCTGGGCGAGCCTAAATGAATTCTAGCAAATGGGTTTCAGGACGCACATGATTGTCCTGTGCTGCAAGCTGATACCCATTCACTGACTTAGGAGGGATTGCTTTTTGCATTTCCGTTGCTCCTCTTGGCAGGCTTCTTCCGACACGATCGCAAGCTCCTGAGCAAGAACTCCATCGCATCTACCCCAGAGGTGTGGAAGGGAAATATGAGGGACAACATGAGTTCAGCACTTCCCTTTAACTACTGACTTAGTTGCTGCTTTAAAGTACCCCACCTCCATTCTCATTCCAGCCTCTTTCTTTCAACTGTGGACAAATCGAAAACCGCAGATCCTTCTCATTTCTGGTTTGGGAAGGTTAGGATTCAGGGAACCAGAAGCCGTCAACATGAACCCAAAGCCACCTTGCCCGAGACAAGTTTCTATTGTTCTAATGGTTTTGGATGCGATGTCTTGGGAGCAGGGAGAATGGCAAAGCAAGATAGTCAAGCAATGTCTCGCAATGCTCACCTGCAGGATGTTGCCATATGGGGCAAATGCTGATGCTCGATTGATGGCATGCTAGTAAAAAGCCGTGCTGTCCCGGAACAGCTGACTTCCACCCAAGGCACTCAGCTCGGGTTTCAAGGGCAAAGCTGTCAGATCCCTCGCTACTTACCTGGGCTCAGTATCGCATCTCGGAAAGGGGGACCCATGCGCCAGCGCTGAGTGCTTGCAGCCATCAGCTCCAACAAGGGCTCCTCTTTATCAGCTTCTTTTGGTATTGCTTTTCGAAGCCACGCGGAGTCAATTCGTGTCTTTTGGAGGATACACCTTTTCTGGTTGGTTCATATGAAGGGATGCCACAAGAAACCGTAAACATATCCCATTTAGAGACAAGCCCTAGGCAACGACAGGGTATCCTATATTCCCCTTGGACATCAACTGCCAAAAGGGCTTCGAAGGGAAACACAGGGAGCTTTGCACGAGGTCAACCGCGCATCCCATCTGATTCGCCTGCCGTTGCTGCAGTTGGCAGACGAGGTCCCCCATCTGGCCGAGTGCCCGGAGCCCCGAACTCGCTGACCCATGGAGCGGTGACCCCCCCAGATTAAAAGTTGGTTGCCTGTTTGGCCGCTATCCAATAAGACCACTCAGTATCAGCTCCCGGAAGGGTAGATATTCGGGTGGCAACAGAAAACAAAGAAACCCCAAACAAATCATACTGTGGATGCACGAAATCCTGCACCGCTTTGAAACCATGCAAACAAAACCACAGTTCGTGTGTATTTACAGTGGAATCGTCATTCCAGGGATTTTTAGGTGGTGCAGGAGTTCGTCCTTCCACAGTAGGAGTCCCTTTGGAACAACACATGGCCACCTAAAGAGGCTCAAGAATGAAACTGATCCTCTACCCGTGGGGCTTAAATATCCAGTGGCTCGGAGCAACCCTAAACGTTTTATTTTTTGGTGTGCGGGAAAGCTACAACCTGATTGAACATCTGGTTGTTGTCTCCCAACACAAAGCCCTAAACCGAGATAAAGCTGGGGCTGCAACCGGAGTGAAGACAGCCCTCCTGTGGTAGGCTGGCTGGCCGGCTGGTTCGTGATGGTTGGGTTGGTGCAAGTTGGGTCGTGTTCGGCGGATTAGTCGGCCCGAGGCTCCACCGGTCCGTCCTTCGCGAACGGCAGCTTGCATCATCGCGTTTCTTTCAAGGTGTTTACCCTTTGACAGCACAGCACAACTCAGCAGTGCACTGATCAAAAGGCAGGTTACGGAGTGTAGGGACTACACAATCAATGCAGCTGAATTGACGTAGACATCTCAAAAAACAAAAGCCTGGAATGAGGGACGGGTCCAAGAGGCTGCCCAAGTTTGAAGCCCGTTTCCGCTTCCTCCTCTTGGTCAAACCCAGTTTCTTCATATGGGATTCCCAACTAAACCCAGGGACACCCCCCCATCCATAAACAGGGGTTGACTCATATGGGGGCAACATTACTCCTTGGGGTTCCTTCCTTAGGGGACCGCAGCTTTCCCTGGGCCCTCAGAAGCAGAGATCAACTGCCTCCTCCACCAGCTTGCTCACACTATCCTGGCGCAGAGATCCAGGGCAACTTGTGGATTTCGGTCGGAGCTTCACAGGGCACTTGGAATCGGCCCCTGTTGGTAAATTACTTAGATGACAGCACAAGGCGGCACCCCCCAGCCGCCAATCAGTGTTTCCTGAGGTGATGTTTGGAACCCTGATATGCAGAATCAGAGCCGTGGGGAACCCCTGGAGCCTCCGCCGACTACAAAATGAGACGCCGGCATCTACAAAAAGAAAACGCACAGCTTGCCGGAAGGTATCAAACTTGGGGATACAACCTCTCTTCTGACAACAATCGGGCCTCTCCGGCGAAAGTTGCGCTTCAAATCCCAATGAAAGCGGCAAGGTTCCGCCGGTTAGTTCGCCCAAGGAGTGTCCCCAACAGCGGAACCTCCCGGAACCCGATTCCCCAAAGCCAGGATTGGCCACGGTCCGTGCCTGTGGGGCAGAGGGCTCCTGGTGCGCTAGGAAGTGACACAGCCGCAGACATGAGCACCCAAACGGAGAAATGGGATGTCCTTCTGGTTATGTACGCTTCCACCAACGAACATGGAAGCGCACCTTAGTGGAAGGCCAGTCATCTTCTAAAAGCACGTCGGCGCACTTCCATGTTGGTGGGAGGGTGGTATTCAGATAACTACTCCATGTTGTTTGTTTGTGGGGTAGTGGGACGCCTTGTAGACAAACTCCTGCCCTACCACTGAAAAACCAGACCTAAATACCGAATGCTTGCGGCAAGGGAGAAGCTAAAGCATTCGATATTCCAAATATCTGGTGGGCAAATTTTGATTCAACAGGCCGAGAATGGATTTTGACATGGGTGCAACCCTTTGAGTTGGACCCAGACCTTGGCTCAGCGGCGTTGCTTTTGCCCGGGCTAGCACAGGCCAGTATTTTCGAAAGCAACAGAAACGACTGGAACCCTTGGACATAAACACTCACACATTTAAGACAAACATACCAGTTGGACTCCCAATCCTGAGGTGAGTTGCTGAAGAAGGAGCCCGAAGGGCCACCCTCAGTCAGCAGGAAAGGTACTGAAGACAAGGGCTTGGTTCTGCTCGCACTGCTTTTGTCTCATGTCTTTTGTGGGGTGAGGGCCCGGTTGTGTACCTGATTGTGGAGCCAAAAACAGCAATTCAGGCTAAGGCTTCCCTGCAAAAATGACTAAGGAACCTCAGGAACACTATATATGCCCCCCACCGCCAGAAGAGGTTCGTAGCTCAAATGGAACCCAAGATGCTGCGGTGTCAGTCTACTGAATCTGCTGTTTTGTTGCTCGTGGACAATTTTCGGGTGACTGATGACTCACCAACCTGAAACAAATGGGCCCAACTAGCGTGAAGCATCAATAGTCGAGTTTCCACAATGCTGGACCGGAGGTTCAGCTTTGTTCCCACACCCCCCTGCCTCATTCTGGGCGACAGGATCTGGCAGCGAGGGCTTTGAAAGACCCAAATTTTGGGCCCCAGAAACCTGGAATGCCTTGATTACCAGCCAACACTCCCCTGATTGACATGGAACTCGAAAAAGGGCAGTCCACCCAAAGAGATTCCTCGAAGGGCGATGTTTTTTTTCGCGTTCCACGTTGATCATCGGAGATTCCGTTGGCTTCTTTCTCTTGGGTGGTGCTCTTCTGGTGCTGACGCTGCCAGCGACACTTGAAGCTGTGAATGGCAGAGAGTCCGACTCAACCCCTGGTGCAGCCCTTTGGAGCCCCACCCCCCAAACAAAAGCAAAGAAAAGAAGGTAAAACGAACCAAAAGGGCGGATACTCTCCAGTCCAGCAAGCTGGACTCACGGCATTCGAATGGGAGGATATCAGAAGCTATATGGATTGGCCTGACCCCTTGAACGTTCAACTAGGCTTTACATGTGGCTCAAATGCTGAGGAGGCTTTTCCGAGCGACTTTGACGCGCCGGTTCGCTGGCAGATCGCTCTGTATGTGCCAAGAGGAGCTAGGGGGCCTCCTGACTGTGAGACACAATTAACATTGCCGAAATCGCATTTGCGAGGGATTCCAAGTGATTGCCTTCTGGTTGCCCTTTGGTTGCCCTGGGTAAATCATCCCACACCAATTCAACATTCTCAAAAACGACTGCCCTTTGGATTCCCTTCGGATTCCCTGGCCAAAACCAACCCCCCAAAAAGGGTACCCTCAAAAAAACACCGCCGCCATTTTGTCCGCGCCCGAACCGCGCGTCGCGCGTCGCATTTCGGACACTCGAAGCTCGAAGCTCGCCGGAGGTGCCGGGCTCAGGCAGATCCAGGTTGGGAGGCTGGAATGGATTCAACTGGGCCTCAGCAGGTCTGACGGGGCTGGGGACGAGGGGGGGCTGCAGGCTCCTGGATTCCCAATTGCAGATACCCCATCTCATCAACATAATCTGAGTTGTGTGAAACTCAGCATGTTCCAAGAGACGGATATTCCGGTCCATGGGGTCTTTTTGGTATTGCGACACTCCAACGGAGGCTGGGGAAGGGGGGGGCTATCCCTGCATAAGCCTCGGATAAGCCTAAAATAAGGGAAGCCCAGGATAAGCCCTTAGCAAAACCTTGCAGGTGAAACCCAAGCTTGCGAAGCCGCCAATTGCCTTCTGCATCTCTCCTTCTGCTGTCGGGTAAAGGTTCCCGCCACGAGGCGCGCTCCAAGTAGGGCAGCAGAATTGACGGTGAAGGCCAGGCGCCATTCCTGGAAGCTGATTGGTTGACGCTTCAGCCAGTCATCAGCCTGCGCGCCGGCTTGCAGCCGCAGGATCTGCGGGGGCACCCCTCTTCCAATCTGAAAGGCTTGATGGAACTCGAGGGTGAAGGAAGCTCAATGTCCAAACAAGGAACTCAAGTCATCAATTGCTTTTGAGTCCTGTTGCAGTGGAGCCTCTCTTAGTTGGCTTCTGGTGTCCATGTAGCAGGACTGAGCTGCTTCGTTTCGGGGCCGATGGATGCAACTCCATGATGTGCAGCAACTACATCCCCTCTTTGCTCGAGGAGAAGCCCTAAGATCCTCCTGGTTTCAGCAGCTCATCAGTTGCCTTTCGCAGGGATATCACGGACTGCGAAAGATGGTGCGAGTCGGGGCTGCTCTCCGGTGCAAACCGGGTATGGTGCAGGGAAAGCGTGAGCCGAAGGCTCGTTGCTGGATGGTCGATAACACGTCGATAACACAAGTTGGTAAGCGGAAGACCTACAAAAACGCGGGTTGCACATGAAAACCCTCATGAAGCACAAGTCGGGTTATCAATTTTGGAACCCGTATTGAAGCGGGATGAACCGATCTTAAGAAGTACAAAAGCCGCATGCTCTGTATGTTGTGAAAGAAGCAGGTTGTCAGTCACAAGGCCTGCTTATTCTGCCGAACCCTCGTTTCGTTGTTATACGTGTTGCGTTTCCCAGGTTTGCCTGAGGTTTGCATGTACAAAAGATGAATTCGAGCTGCGCCAATCTTTCCTGACCAACACGAGGAATCTCCGCAGAAAGGATTCGGGACTCGTCGCATCCGTTTGAAACTTGAAAGTTGCGGAAGTCCTCACGTTCCAGGTGGGCGGGGGGGGGGGGGGAGCGCGGCCATGCCCAGTCGCTGAATCCTTGCGATGGCCCTCAGAATTGGGCGGCAGTTTGCCCGAGGGCTCGTGTGAATGGCTCCGTTGACGCGTTTCTTTGAGAAGAGACAGAGTTGAGGGACCAGTAAAAATCTTGGTTCCAGCTCGAGTAAACTCATAGGCCTCGAAGGCTTGGTCTAGAGACTTGCTGCCAAGCCCTGCGTGTAGAAGTGCTTTGTCCCCGAGGAAACGAAGCAGTTGTGTCACGTTCATATCGATGTCCAGATCGGATTAAAGATAGCACTCGTAATAAAACAAGCGGGTGGCCCGATAAAAATACTGTAGTACTTGGAATACAAACAAGTACCGCCCTGGCAGCCAAAATAAGCTCAGGTGATATCCCCAACAGCATACGGTGCTCTTTCCAGTGCTCGCACCACCCCGCAGCCCTCGCAGAACCTCGTGGAACCCTGGTGGAACCCTCGTGGAACTCTCGTGGAACCTTACCTCAGGGCCGCCCCGGACCACCCCGGAGCCTATCTGGGCTGAGACCCCAAAGCTTTCAGCTGTTGGGGAAAAACATGTTAAGACAAATAATATGAGACGCAAAAACACATCAACACAAGATTACAAAGTCCCAACACAAGATTACAACTTCCCCCAAACTGATAGTTTCTTACACGTCTCTTGTTCAAACACTGCCCACAATCAAACCCACAGGGGGTTGTCACGGGTACTCCAGCAGTATATACCAAATGAAATGGAAACTCAATTGAAAATCTCAGAAGCAAGTTCCAGCAATGATAAATCAAGTCTTTTATTTGCTTTTTGAGGGTGAGATATTACGTACACGTAACTCGGGACAAGTCCACTTTGAACTATTGAACAATGGGGTGCACCTGCAACCCTTTCACAGACCGATGGCTTTACTCTACCACCAACAAACATGGAAGTGCACAGGCTCTCCGTCACAGAAATTAGTCTTCCAAAAGCGGTCTGTGCCCTTACATATTTGCTGGTGCAAGGTAAGTGTTAGGAAGAAATCAAGGCTAAGCTGAAAAATCAAGGTGCCTGCGGTGCTTCATATTTCGTGGGACAAACCCCCACAAGCAAGGGGATTGGGTCGTGCCTTTGCAACAAAAGTATCTTCAACAATCTCTAGTGAGCCCCCAAAATCAAAACATCTAGAGTCAGATTGAACTTGACCTCATGTTGGCGCAACAATGCGAACAACACTCAAAACAACAACGCGCCAGTCAACATAATTATGCGGTTTCTGCAATGGACATGGGACAATTAGTGATCCCCGCGGTTTTTGTGGGGACCTCCCAAATGAAGCGTGGATATTCTGAGCGCATATGTGACCTCGGGCCACTGCAATCAGTGGTGAGAACATTCTCGGCGACGCCTGGCGAGAGTGCGGGCGAGTGATGTCGGCTGGCAGTAAGCCTAAACTCACCAGCTCCAAATCCAAAAGGGATGAACATAGAGGTTAACCTGTTCGAACCACAAAACAAAAAGCAACAGGGAAACCCGCAGTTTAAAAACGTCGGCTTGGGGCTACGAGACAAAACATGACTGGGGGGTCTTCTCACCGATGGTTCACGGGATGATGCCAAACTCGAAAACCGCTCAAGTCTTCTAAGGGTGAGTGTTAGTGGTTGGTGGCACGTCCTGAATTCACTTCCGATATCCGATATCCCCAATGATATCTGTTTGCACCACAAGCTTTAGCAATGTAGGCTACGCGCGTGGTTGCAGGGTACCCCGCCAACCCAACACCAAGTATTTCACCCCATTCCCCCCAACTGACTTTCTGGGTGGACTACTGGCCACGCAAGCTGTTTCAACCTTCGCAGATTGAGAGTTCAGTTGAACCTGCATTGGGTTTTTACTTAAAAAGGTTATGCATCGGATGTTCTTCTTTTTCATATTGTTTATGACAACCCGATGTACTCACTTCAACCATCCAAGTTGCTGAAATTGAAATCCCGCTGGCACGTGAGTCTCTGAGCCTCTGAGTTGCCTTCAAGCATTTCGCCGCACTGCATTGACATGTTCCCAAAAAGGTCTGCTCCATTCGGTGCCCAAATGGCCGAGGAATCCGGATTCCTCGGTACCTTGGGGTGCTTGGCCACGCCTACGCCCCCAAGCTTTCTCCGAGAATAGCCTGAATGGCTAGAAACAAGTTCAGTCGCTGGGACTGGCTGCGCAAAGCCGTCAGCATGCTCTTTGAGCAATTGTGTTCATGTCATGCTTAGCGAGATCGCTAATTGCTGATTTCCTGGTTTTGATGTTTGACAGGCTGCCTATAATTTTGACGAAGTCTCAAATGCGGCGACAGGTGGCTTCCTCAAACCTTGCGGGCTTTGCAGCTGAGCAATGCAGAACAGCGACCACAGCCCAGTCTGACAAGTACACTTCCCTCCATTGCACGACTATCCTCATACTGGAGATATCCGCCGACATTGCTCGGCGTGTCGGATACTTACTAGAGGATAGAGGATAACCCCCCCCCTAACCCCCCCCCCGCCCGACGTCTATTACGTAGGTTTTTTTTTGGGGGGGGGGAGGGGGGGGGTCCCCCACGTACCGCGCGGCAATTTG